CACCTTCTGTTGGTTTGTTATTCCCACCTATTAAAGATAAATACAGTCAAAAAATAAGTGACAAGATTTTTAAGTTCCTTTTCTTTTTACCAAATGGGAAACAAAGAATGTCCTTCTATTATTTTTCATTTGGAAAACAGCCAATGAAAAAAAATCAAACCACCTAATCAAAACTCCAAAGTAACTAAGGGTAAATTCCTTTACAGCACTGTTAGCTGGTTGATATGTGTACAACATGCCAAAAAAATTGTCCTACTCCTGAACTATAAGAAAAAACAGTCTTTCCACTATATTAAATATAACTAGGCACATAAAACACAATTGTAAGTGCTGCTAAACATGCAAGCACAGCCTCATTTGTAATAAGCTGGAATTAAAACCATTTTAATGGTAACTACTGTTATGGCATTACCCTTTTCTTCTTAACACCTGCCGTCACTTTGCTACACCATTTTACAAAATCATCCACGCTGCTACTTTCTCTCATCAGCAGTTTATCCCACGAAGACTGAACCCACAGGATTAGTAGTTACCAGGAACCAGTGCATCTGGCCTCCATCTGTTCCCAGTAGCTCCCGAGCATATTGCTCTCAGCTTTGCCTAAACAGTTTTAAAGGGTTTGGAGGTCTGGTTTGTTTGGGTTTTTTAAATAGCAGCAGCTAGAGATTCACACAGCATACAAACAATATATTGGTGTGGAAGGAAAATATGAGATAAGAAGACTGTAGTAACTTTTCCTACAGTGACTGAAAACACAGTTTTCTTTTAGATAAAACCCATACACGAAGTGGTTTCTTTCTTCATGTTCTGCCACATTTTTAAGGGTCACCTCCTGGTTTGGAATCTCCATTCTGAGCACACACACTGCCTTAAAGACTCTCAGGTAAAAGTGATGTTGACAATTAAATACCCTGCTTTTTCAGATCTTCACAGAATTCCACAATAAACAAGCTTTCTCCAACTTAACACCTACTGGAAAACTGACTTCCATGTTTTAGATACTGATAGGAAATTGCTGAGTCAAATAGCAAAAAATTGACAAGGTCATGTTATATTCAAAGAAATGAAAGCAGAGAAAAACAGAATCTTGAGCATTACTGAGGTGAGAATTTTAAATGAAGTGTAGGACACACCTAATGACAATGGGAAGGGGAAAGGAGGGTAAAGACAAGAATTAAAACCTTGACCCAAAAAGTAACTGTGTATTTCTGCTCAAAGAGCGGATGTTTCAGTAAGAAAGTAACTTCTAACTTCATACTAACTTGTCACATGCTTAATATAAGCAGATTCATTTTTCAGTTCTTCTTGCCTTCTCTTTGATACTGTCATGGCTCGTTGCTGAAGCAGTGCATGTACAGCCCATTCCAGTTCATTAATGTCCTTCAGCTGAAATACAGTAAACAGTAATCAGGTTTTCGATTGGTTAAAACCCCACAAGAAAGAACAAAACCCAGTTTCCGTGGGTTTTTAGTATAGCTGTGAAATTAGAACTGAAGTATCACAGATTGGAAAGTAAGTTACTGATCACTGGAGCTTTTCAGGCTTTTTTATAAGGCTGAAAACATAAAGTAAATTTATGATGAGCCAGTTGATCATCAGGGACTACCTAAGACTTTATACAAAAGGGTTAACCAATACACTGTTGGTGCCCCTTGTTTGCTTTCAGATTGCTTTTGAGCCACCAGCATTAAAGAAAATGTATTCATTAACTAACATTTCTTCTCTTTCTGGTTACTTCAAGAAATTCACAATTGTAATGCAATTAAGTGATGTAAATTAGATTTGATATCACAATCTGTAAAGGATAACAGCAGTTTACTTCCAGTAAGGCCAAACTTCAGGTCGCTCTTCCCCTTCTCCCAACTTTTATCCTTCTAAACACTGAAGTTTGCAGCTCAGGAAACACATGCAATTCTCACACAGCTTTGTTAACTCAATCCCAGCTTGAACCTAACACAAAATGCTTTCCTACCTCTGCTATGTAATCCTGAGTAAAGACGTTTTGAGATCCCAAAAATGAACTTGTGTGTCACTTCTCATTCAACTTCAGCCCATGCTGTTTTCTAGAACTGCAGAAAACTCCCTCCAACAATATTTTGTTTTCATTCAACAGAATCTAAGTGAGACCACAGCTCAGGTCTGTATGCCTGCACTAGCTGGATCATCACTTCAGGTGAGGACTGACTTGTTTTCTCTGTATTTTGTATCTTGCTACATTGAAATTTCTAATACAACTGTGATTTTTAACTGGATGGTGTTCCTCATCCTTTCCAAACAAAAATCCTTTCATTGACAGAAAGCACTTTTATCATCTTAAATTAAAAAAAAAAAAAAAAAAAAAAAAAAAAAAAAAAAAAAAAAAAAAAAAAAAAAAGAGAGAGAGAAAAATATACATACTTTTTCATTCAAACAGTTTATCAAGTTTTCTACATATGTTTTCATGGCCCTGTAGAATTTGTAATTCAGAGCTGCATCTGAAGGCTTCTCTAACTCCTGGACGGTCATCTTCGAGCTCTCCATGTTCTCCATGTATTTTTCATACTCTCTCTGGTGGGCACGGTGCACATCCTGTAAGGATGTTATCCTAAAAGAGAAACCCAGACAACCAGAACTATTGCCAACATAACAGCTGATGCATTCCAAAACAGATTTCCCATTATAATCACACCCAAAATCTCTGCCTGTGCTAATAATAGTACTTGCATTTGACCTAAGCAGCTTTGAAAGACCTACCCGTGCCAACATTTGCAGAAGTACGGGGTGTGGACAAGCATCGTCCTTTGGAGACCCACATATCATTTATATGGCGCTGGTTTTGAAAGCACCACTAACATTTTACCTGGATTCCTCACTACAGCACACCTCCCAAATATAAAAAAGCCAAATCATGTGATATCACATTATCAGGTGGATTGTACCCAAAGTAATCTGGGGAAAACTACAGCTCACATCAGCACGTCCATACCAGTGCAATGTAAGATGCATGGACAGCAGTACCTATAAACACAACGTCCTCACTACTAAATACAAACCAACTGACAACTCTTCCTAGCATGTGATAAAACACAAAATCTGATGTCTACATCTGTCACTATTAGATAGATAGTACATTTGTATACATTAAAACTCTGCTTCCTCCCTTTTTTTACCCTTCCCTCCTTACATATCCCAAGTGTTTGCTCAGCTTGTAACAGAACCAAGAAACAGATCACAACTTCCCTGAACTGAACACTTTTCAAAAATAACTGAACTAAGCTTTTTTTTTTATTGTGCTACAAGTTAAAAAAAAAAAAAAAGCATTATGATAAACACATATATAAACTTGACATCAAACAGGTTCCCTCTCCCCTTCTTGCTGTTTTCCAGACAGATTTCCCACTCTTGATAGCTGTATCCTCATTCTCCCTATTTGATTCTGTACGTAAATTCCTACTTCAGTTAACTCAATTCCCTTCAGGTGATTATGGCAATGAAAGCATACAATTCTACAAATATTTAGCCCAATTTAGTTACAATTCTTCAAACAAATGTGTCACTGATTGTCTGTACAAAGCAAGGCATATACAGATAGAGCTCAGTGCAAATTTGTAGCACGTATTTACAATTCAGTTGTATAATGTTACTTGTCTAAACTTATCTGAGCAGCTGCTTCCCACTGCTCTGAGGGATGACAGGGGATGGCTTACCTTAAGTTGCCTGACCCCAACTGTCCTTCCCACATCCATCCCAGGACACTCCAGCTGCCCACAGAGCAGCTGAACTGCTGAATAAAAGTCACAGGCTGGCACATGAATAAAGAAAAAATCCAGGCAGGTTCTAAACAAGCTGCAGGGAACTTACTGCTGCTTTAGGAAATATTCAGCTATTTTTGCGGCTGGTCTAAGAACAACCATAGGAGGGGTAGGAGTGTGAGCTCCACCTGCCCCCAGATGAAGCTCTGGTTGCTGGGCAAACATAACATCAAACCAATGCTCCTGACAAAAACTACCAGCAAGCACAAAAATCTGCTGCCATTTAAATTGAAGTTACTCTCTGAAATGGAATCTACTCTCTAAAGGTCTAATTGACAAAAACACTGTTTAAAAGCCAAAATACTCTCCTACAAAAAAGACTCGAGAGGTAAAGCAAAAAATTTGCAGTACTCCATGAGATATAATAAAAGGTGCATTACTCATGAAAACAACACAAAAATCACCCAACACACTGGAAAAAATAAGACTTCAAAGCTGTTGTCTCTTTCTGTGACAAAAACTCAGACAACTCACAAGTTAAGGAGTTACCTTTCAGTCAGTCGCTTCTTCACAATTTCCAAATTCACAGGTGGTAGAGAAACAGAGGTATCAAACTTGGGTTTAGCTGGTTGATATTTATGCACAGAAGCATCATCATAAGTTTCCTACAAGAATTAAGTGTCAGGTTTGAAAACATCATTTACACTGTTAATCCCTCCGCAGCTCTAGAGATCAACAAGATGTATCATTTGAATACTAAATATATGATATGAAGATACATATTTCAATCACCAAAAAATCTAGCTAAAAAGACAATGAGTTGAAGCATGAAGTGTATGACTAACAAGGTCTACTGCTAAAAATTGTCACAGTTTCCTGAACAGCAGAATTAAGTTTTCCGGAAACAAGTAGAGTATGAGGACCCAAGATCACCAACCGTACTGGATTTGAGCACCAGCCACAGAAAGATATAACTTTCTCCCAGTCCTCTATTCTCCAAAATTTGCAAATCGGGAAAATTACTACAATTGTCAATTCTGACATAAAGAGCTGGCTGTTCAGATATTCCCAGTCTGATCTAGAATAGGTGATCCAAGCCAGAAACAAAACTTCCAACTCATCAGAATACAGTTCATTTTTGCCAATTATTTCGAGGAAAAAAGACAGAATTCTGCTGAACTATGAAGAAAGCTCTCAGATTGCCACCCTACAGAAATTAAGCATAATAGAATAATAATTTTTGCTTTGCAACTTTATAACACTTGTATTGTTTGCATACTCTTACTTTAAAGATCCCTTGCATGGCAGAAAAAAAAGCAGGAGTTCAAAATTTTCTTTTCTGCTTCTCAGAGTCTCTTGTCAACATGGGTACCTGCCTTTGGGGCTGACACCACCATCCTGCTTCTCAGCAGCCAGACAGAGATTACAGACAGTCCTTATCATCTTCCCATATTTCTAATCATCCTTTCCCTGAAGAATCAGGGTATAACTTCCTAAAATCCTCTCTGATGAGAGGGCAGGAAGGAGACAGGACAGTACTCCAAACAAACTCTCTTGCCTACGAGCAAAAAGCAACTTTTAGTTGTTAGGAAAGCATGTGTCACCTGAGACAGTTTAACAGCTTTCTTTATTTGCTGTTCTTCCCACTTAGCTTCATCATCACTTGATCCATCACCCACAGGCACTGCAAGTTAAAATAATCATTATTAGATGTAATTGCATCCTTTATTTTTTTTTCCCCTCTCATGCTCTCCTCCCTCTAAAGCAACAGTGGGTCTCCCAGCCACTGCTAGGAAGTGGCACACACAAAAACCAGCAGATGAAAAATGTGCAGCCAGAGAACTCCCAAACTGAAAGGCAAGGAATGCTTGGAAATGGCTACTGGGATTTGTAGAATTCATACTAATATTAATTTCCCCAATGTACTGTTTCTCAGTCAGCTACTGCAGTAGGAGGAGCACAAACATCTTGGGTTTATGTCTCTAAGCAAAGCTGTGTATAACACATGTAAATAAGAGAAGTATAGCCTGTAACACACTGAGTGACATTGTTACCAACAAACCAAAGGGTGTTACAAAACACTGTACTAAAAAAACAAAAATATCTCATTAGCATTAATTAGAATTGCAGAATTGGCTCGTAGTTATGCATTCCTTATAACCCTTATTCAAATAATAAAATAAACCTGTGCTTCATAAACAACACTATAAGCAGCTCTAAGAGGATAAAAGCAGTGGAAAAGCCAGATATGCTTTGTGTGCAATAGGTGTGTTCACTTCTGAAGGGCTGGGATGATGGTTTGCTTTTTTTTTTTTCCTTTTTTGCAAGAGCCATAATGTCAATGCAGGGAGAGCACTTGGAAGACCAGACCAGAAGCAGGAGGCAGGATTTACAGTAACTTTATCCACATTAAATGTGACTCCTACAAGGCAATTTTTTGCAGTCAACAAAGCCAAAAATAATTTTTAAATGTTTCTCAAAGTATCCTGCACAACTACAAGTAAGACCTAAACAAAATTTATGTCCCATATAACCTGCAAGTACCAGATGTACAGCCTTCTTCCAAGAGCCCTGAGGAGCAAAGCCTAGTACTGCACTCACTGCTTACTGGACAGGTCTCACATTCTTTAAGACAGTAAAACAAAGCCACTGGGAGAAACAACACAAACTCACCCATTTGTTCAGTCATCCTCTGCCTAAGAGTTTTCATTTTAGGGGCAAAATCGATATTCTTTGTTTCAGTCTCATCCTCACTCTCAAAATCACTGCTTCTTCTTCTACCCCGAGAGACCTGGTGACTGTTTGACACATCCAGTGGAAGATAATCAGCCTTGGTCCGGGCTAAGTGACGTTTCCTCTGAGCGCTCTCAATGTGAGCTGCACTGGGGATATCACCTGCACCAAGGAGAAAGAAAATCTATGCAAAAGACTAAAAGCAACTCTCTGTATCATTCTTAATGCCAATCATCACGACTTCAGCACCACTCTGGATAAACGACACCAGATGTTCTTCTACTACACTTACCATGTTGGATATAAGAAGACGGGAAAACATCCTTAAAAAGTGGCTCTCAGTCCAAGACAAAGCTCAAACTGTTTTCTTTTAAATAAATCTCTGTTAGCTCATCCTGTTTTTCTGTCTCCCCACAAGATCAGTGTCACTTAATTTAGTCAGCTTACAAAGGAAACAAAAGTTTACACATCAGCCCCAAAGCAAAGTTTTATTTTCATCTCATGAAGGGAATTGTGTATCAATAAAGAGGAATTTTCTCCTGCCTTTCTTCTAAAGCCAATGGTCATAATTTCTGATGCCCTCCCAAAATCAACAAAGAAATGCAACAAACATCTGCAATTAAAAAATGGGGGAATCATTGCTATTCTTCCAGAAGAAGGGTATCCCTGACTCAGCACAAAGAGATGCCTACATCTTACATGATTTAAGCTGTGTGGGATTCCTCTCCCCTAACTTGTCATGTGTAGGAGTTTGAAGCTGATAACTCACTTGTCTACCATTGGATCCTGTGTTGCCATAGTTATTATATTGTCTCTTTGTATTGGCTATCTAAATGTCCAATCACCACTTCTCCCCACCAGCCTTTATAAGCTGGGGGACATTTGAATAAAAGGCTCTTTCCTGCTGGCCTCCCTGCGTGCAGCGTGTTCTCTCTCTCCTGGTAGAGGTCCCTCCGCTGCCCGTCCCGGCCACGAGGGACGGGCAGCGGGGGGGAGGGGGTGATCTCAGCCCTGGAAACCTTCACAGAGCAGCCGGGAGAGACCCTCAAGTAACCACACTAACTGCAACAGTCATGTACTTCAAACAAAGAACATTCTAAAATAACTTCATTTAAAAAAAAAAATCCAAAAACCAACCTGGTGATAAACCCTTCCTTCTCCGTGGAGAGCTGGAATCATTTTCAGAGTCTGAGCTATTGTAGTCCTCATTCAGTGAAGAATAAGTTTCATCCTCCTTCTCCTCATCCTCCTCTTCACAAGTGCCTTTGGTGTTGCCAGTTCCAGGCTCCAACTGGCAGATCTCTGTATTAGGGGGAAAAAAAGTAAGATTCACGATTTTAGTTTTGTTGCTGGAATCTGATGTGCCATAGCTGGTTTCCAGTAATTATTTACAGCTTGCTGCAGCAAAGGCTGGTCACTTGTGCATCCCCACCTGCTCTCATCAAAACATGTCAAATTGTGACATTCCAAGACAGTCATTGACAAGGCAGTTCTTGTCTCAAATCAAAGCATCTTTGATAGTCCTTCTGGGACACAGGGCGTATTTACATGCACAAAGCAATGAGATCAGCTTTCAGACAACAACTGATTAATATTCTGATAGCTCATAGCATATTTAGACTCTTGACTTGAAGAACTGTATTTAGAAAGCACTTTTTATAAACCATTGACAATGAGGGAGCTCTTATTTAAACTATAAACATTTATGTATATGTCTTGCCTACAGTTATTCTCAAACTCCTTAAAAAATTGATTTCTTTTCATCTGCCACTACATCTTCAATAAATCATCAGATTACTGAACAGCTGAATGTGCCACTTTTTGTAAGAGTATGATACACTTTTATAAAAGGTTACTAAGAAAATTTACCATCTCATCTGAATCACAATCTCAAATGGAATTATTTCTCAATCTAATTTAATCTAACACTAGCAAATATACTATATCTGTGAACTGACAGAGGTGTCAAAAGGGGTAGAGAACTTTTAGACAAACTTGTTTGTGAATAACACAAACTCAAAATTTCCCAGGAAACATATGATAGAATGGTTTGGGTTGGAAGAGACCTTAAAGATCACCAGTTCCAACCTCCCTGCCATGAGCAGAGACACCTTCCACTAGGCCTAGTTGCTCAGAGCCCCATCCAACCTGGTCTTGAACACATCCAGGGATGGGGAGTCCACAACTTCTCTGGGTAACTTACTATAGTTCAATGAAGCTGGGAATACAATCAGTATAATCAAGGCTGTTGTGTATTTAATTAACATATTTGAATGCTGCAAGAGCACACAATTTAGTAACACAAAGTTTAAGGTTTACATTAATTTTTATCAAACAAAATCCTACTAAGCTCACATTTTCTCTCATTGCCAATACTCAGATCAAACTGCAATTTGACAGCAATAAGCAGTGAACAGGTGGCACATAGTTTGAAATATATGATGCTGATGTATAAATGTAGGAGAATTTTACTAACTTTGATGTACTATAAGGGTTCTGCATAATCAGGTCTTCTCATGAACAGCCTCTCAAGTTCTGATACTCTTTTACCAGGGTCATATTGAAAATAATTTCAGCACAAATAGATTAAAATTATAAATCTGTAAAGCAACAATCAAAAAAAATCCTTAAAAGCAGTATTTGCACATTACTCTCCATTAACTGATTTTGTAATATACTGACATATAAGTGTTTTATAACATACTTAACTAAAGAAGTACTTACTTTTGCTTTCTTCAGCTTCTCTCTGTGCAGGCAGTAGGCTTTCCCTCTTTTGAATTCTAAAGGTTACTTCATTGAAAGATGGCTTTTTAACTTTGAAAAACTCTTCACCTATTCAGATAAAACAAAATGACTTTGAGTAACAAGGACAGCAACATCTGCATGCATATGTAAGTATCACATATAAAATTGCATGTAGATCTCCAGGTATGCACAGCATAAATTTTGAAGTTCTGGCTGGACTAAATCTCTTTCTTCCTAGGGCATTATCACTCATGATCCAACACCTCTTAATTAAAAACTGTGCAGCTCAGCCTCCTCAACACAGCAGTGATGCAGAGCTAAAACACAGTATTTCTTTGTAGCTTGTGTTCATCAAAGTGGTCACATCGTGTCATCAGCCGCAACAGTAACACCCTAAAAGAGTCGATTAAACTTTTATGTCTCACTTATTTAATCTTATTAACTAGTCACAGAATCACACACTACTTATTCTCTCTGGTTTTCTTCAGCTGTAAGATTTCAAATGCTTTCTAGCCAAAAGCACGTGGACACAAATAATCATCTAACCACTTTTCACAGAACCACAGAATTGTTACTGTTGGAAGGGACCTCTGGGGATCATCCAGGGCAGGGTCACTTAAAACAGGTGACACAGGAACGCATCCAGGTGGAGTTTGAATGTCTCCAGAAGGGGAGACTCCACGACCTCCCCGGGCATTGTGTTCCAGTGCTCTGCCACCTCAGAGTAAAGAAGTTCTTCCTCATGTCGAGGCGGAACTTCTTGTGTTTTAGTTTATGGCCATTGCTCCTCGTCCTGTCGCTGGGCACCATCGAAAAGAGTCTGGCGCCATCCTCCTGGCACCTGCCTTTGAGATACTTGTACGGATTGATCAGATCTCGTCTCAAGACGGGATCTGATCCCTCTTCTCCAGACTAAACAGGCCTAGCTCACACTTTCGTATGGGTTTGTTCTGCAAACTCTTAACAGTCCTGCCCACGACCCGGCACCGCTGGGTTCGTTCACAAAGAGGCACAAGGTGACCAGCGGCTCCCGGCCCTCAGCCCGGTGCTCGGTGAGGCAGCAGGCCCAGGCAGCGCTATCCCGGGGCTGCCGACCCGTGCTCTCCAGGGACACACACACACCCCATCCCTCACCTTCCCGCTCCTCCTCGCCGCCGAAGCTCAGCAGCTCCTTCCCTGTCCGGCCCGGCCCCGCCGCGGCCCCGGCTCGGCGCTGCCCCCGGCCCGCGGCCGCCGCTCCGCTCCGCGTCGGCTCCTCCGAGGGCAGCGGCCTCTCCGCCCCGGCACCCCCGGGGGAGTCCCGGTCGCCCTCCTCGGGCTCCGCTTCCTGCTCCGAGGGCGAGCTGGCGCCGGAGTCTGGAGATGGGGCGGCGACCGGCTCCGGCCGCGGCTGTGGCTCCGGCTCGCCCTCGCTGCTGCCGCTGGAGGCTGCGCGCCGCCGGCCGCGGAAGTTCCGCGGGGGACGGCGGAACATCGCTCCCAGGGATCGCTCCCGGTGACTGTTCCCGGTGATCGCTCCCGGCCGGATCCCGCGGCCGGTTCCAGCGTGTCCCAGCACGCACGCGCAGCGACCCCAGCGCGCCGCGGCCGCCGGGAGTGGGCGGGAACACGGAGGGAACGGGGAGGGGGCGGAGGGATGAGGGGGTAGAGTATGGTGTCTCGCCGGGAGAATGTGAAAGGGTTTTTTTTTGTGGTAATTCGCTGGTCACTGGTGCGTGAAAACGTAATTTGTTTGACCAGCTGTGAGCCCCTCAGTGCAGGGGCTGCTGTGGTGGGAACATAGGGAACATAGCCTTAGGCTCCGCCGGGGAGGTTCAGGTTGGGCATGAGGAAGAAATGGTGATAAGACATCGGAATGGGCTGCCCAGGGAGGTGGTGGAGTCACCGTCCCTGGAGGTGTTGAACGAAAGGCTGGACGTGGCCCTCAGCGCCATGGTCTGATTGACAAGGTTGGACTCGATCGCGGAGGTTTTTCCAACCTAATTGATTTTGTGGTTCTGTGCTTGCCCTGTTCCACAGCTTCTTACTGGGCCATCAAAATCTTCTGCGGTTCTGGTATTCCGAATATAGTAATTTATAAATTATATTCATTATTGATAACTATAATTCATGACTACTCATAAGAAAATTTTTATACTTATTATACGTTACGTAAATGAATAATAAATTGATATATAGTTGCTAATACCTAACTACACAAAATAGCTATTTTAGAATTAACAACAACATAAACTAATCACAAATAAATATGCCTTGTAAGGCCAGGTTGGATGGAGCCCTGATCAATCTGGTCTAGTGGAAGGTGCCCCTGCCCATAGCAGCAATGTTGGAACTGGATGGTCTTTAAGGTCCCTTCCAACCCCAACCATTCTGTGATTCTATGATTATTATAAATTTAAAACTGATTCTGTAGCTTGTTGCCAACAACTAATCACAGGTTTTTCTCCCTTTCCTCAGGCTGAGCTCACTGGAGGAGTCAGGCAGGTGCCAGTGCTGGTGTGAGGGGAGGGGAACATATGGCTGGGAACAGAAGGAAGGTGGGATTGTGACAAGTGATGACAAATTGGTTTGCCTGGGGAGTAGTCGCACTGTAGCTTGTACCAGCCTTTGATTTCTGCCGTGCTGACTTGAGCTGTGTGTGATTTGCTATGTGGAAAGAAAGCACATCCCACTCCAAATGAAACCAGGCAGAGCAAGTCCTTCAAGTAAGCTTTTGTGCCCCTAGAGAAGTACCCAAAAATAGCAAATGTTTGAAATGTTCTTGCTTAAATTGCTCCACCTTTCTGTCCTTCATCTGTAGGATGAAGATACTAATATTAACTTGCCTCAGGAATTTTGTGAAGAAAAAGCTGCGTTTGTGAAGCACCAGTTACAGGAAGAACAACATAAAACCCCAAGAGAAAATCAGCTAAAATATACTTGTATTCAGCACTGCTTCTGAATAGTTATTGAATAAAACCCAAGGCTTCTCGATGAATAATGAGGATTATAAAAACTTTAAAAAACAATTCAGGAAGCACAATTCACCTTGCAAGCATTATTCATTTTTCTGCACTGAAAAAGGCTGGGGTCCGTTGGGAAAACAAAGTAGTTTTGCAGGTGCTGAAATTAAACCTTTCTATGGATTTGTGACTTACTGAGAGCTCTGATTCAAAGCTGTCTTACTATTGTGGAGTTGAGATGTGCTTTCCCTCTGTAGGACTGAGGGGGTAAAGCCAAGGATAATCTGGGGATACACAGATATATTGAGTTGCTCCACAGTGACCTGGGCAAAGCAGAATTTGCTGTCATAGATTGTCCTGGAATAATGCCCATGAAGTAGCCTGTTTCTCCTTTACCACTCCAGGACTAATGAACACTTTACGATGCTAACAAAGATCTTGTGGGATTTACCAGGAACCTTTAACATCCTTTAACACTGACAGAGCTCCTTTCCCTGCCTGTGAGTCTGTATTAAAGTGTTTCTGCTCTTTTGTCTGATTTTGAATCCTCTCAGTCTGGCAAGTGCTACTCAGGCAGGACTGAGCTGGCTCCTAAGAGGAAATGGTTCAGGAGTTCAGCATGGCAGAAACATGGGACACAGCCATTGTACACTTGGTATTTCCAGCAGGCTGAAACTACCATGCTTGCAGTTGTCACTCCAGTTAATGTGCTCACTAAGTGCCAAGATATTAATCTAGGCAGTGGCATCAAATCTAGATGATCCTAGTTCAGAAGAGCAAATTAAGTTGCAGCAATGCAGCATAGTATTTCTTGGAAAGACTACCAGTGCCAAGTGCCAATGGATTTATTTTGTTAGGCAGTAAAAGGTCTCTGACACTGCTGACACAGGACAAAAAGATAATTTTGCCTTTTAACTATTTAGAGCTGAAGGTTAACGGTAACATAGGTGAGGATTGTTGGTCAGAAATATTAGAATTCTTTGTTCTTAAACAACTGTTTTAGTGATTCTGCAGTCTAACTAATCCTCAGGCAGATGGATTTTCAGAAAGGCTGAGTAGATCAGTGAAGGAGATCAGCAAATTGTTATAGATTTCCCTTTCCAAAGCAAGAAGCAGCATGAAAGTAAGATAACCTTGGCATGAAAATTCAAGTGAAAGCATTAATGGCTGATAGTATGGTCTCCTTTCACACTCCATTGATTTCAGCTCTAGCTTGAACTCTGTTAAACTTTAATGTCCACTTAAGTTACAAAATGACTTGCTCTGAAAGACCACTTGTCAAAAACAACTCAGCTGCAGAAAAACCCTAAATCTAAAGGGTCAATTCAATTTTGGGGAAAGACAGCAAAACTAGGTCCAACCTCCTAAATGCAACAACTTTAAGTCACTAATTGGAGGTACAGCGCAACGTTATTGCTTGCAGCAGCTGAGAGAAGAGTTTGTCTTTGCTTCTGTTTGCCGTGGAAAGTCCAGCAGGATGTCAGGCAGAGGGGGGCAGCAGCACCTTAAATTGTCAGTGTTACATCGGGCAAGCAAGAGCTACAGTCAGGGGAAACTTACGTGTTTCATCAACACAGAGCTTTTTTGTAGACTTCCATAAGCTGGTTTAAAACCACAGTGGTCTGTTTGCCCTTTCAATGAATCCCTGTTTTTATTAATTGTTATTAGTTATAGTTTACCTTCTTACCCAGTTTTGCCTATCTTTATCATGGTCTTAACTTGCTCTGTAGCATGCATCTTTCCAGATATCTGTGAATCTGGAAAAATTTCCTCTTCACAGGAGCTCAAAAACATTCTGACACATCTGAGAAGACTTATTTCAAAGTTGATATTTATATCATTCAGCCCTTAAAAGCAGTGTTTAGTTCCAGGGAACCTCACAAAATTCAGGTAAGAAATAAACCACTGTCTGTCTCTCTGTGGGCATGCACATGAACTTTTACCCCATAACTGAATACTATGTACCCAATGACAGGTTTTTAGCACCTAAGCTGGAAAGATTTGTGGGGAAAAAAATCTTTGGTAGCAAATGCAGTAGGGATCTTACTGGAATCAGAACTGGCTTCTTGGCTTGCATTAAAACGTGAGTGTGGAGAAACAAATGCATCTGAAATGAACTTGCAACTCTGGCTTACCAAGGTATTATTTACTAATTGTGGCATAAGGATTGCAAATTGCAACAAATAACCTTGCTTAACCCCACTTCTCTGTTATTGTCAGCACTTGGCACTTGTGAAATTCCTGTGTGCCTGAACATTTCTGCCTGGCTGTGCTGCAGTTAGGGTTTGCAAGTAAAACCCTTGTGTCTGCTCAGCAGTTGGCAAAATTTTATTTGCCATAATTCAGTCTGCATGAGTCAGCGCTGCCTCCCTTCACAACAGTCTGGCCTGTCTGGAAAGCTGCTTTTCTCTATGGTTACATAGATGTTCTATAAATCTCAAAATAATTTCAGTGCGGTAGGCAAAGAAGCCTTTGCCACTCTGAACAAATACAGTCCAGCTCCCCATCCACTACTAAATAATATCAGTGCTTGGCAGGGAACAGAGTTGGGACATGAATATTTTATTTTATACAGCTATGAAGTAACAGAAAATCCTGCAAATGAATACAGTAGCCATTTGTCATTTTAAAACCTGTGTGGGCTTCTGGTTCAGAAACCAAACCAGCAGTTCTACAAATACTACTTTTGATGCAGCGTGTGCTTTGTGCCTTCTATACCTTCTTGATAAATTGCGACTCAGAATCAATATCAGAAATGCGCCATTCCTGTTCTGTTAGGTGTGGAAAGTAAATACTAACTTGTCCTTTTGTTTATCTCACTGTGTTTTATGCCTCCATTTTTAAATAAAGATGTGGGCTAAAAGACTGTTTAGCATTTACTCAGAGGAGGAAAGCAGTTGAATACTGATGTAAAAATGAAACCTGGCAGCAACATTAAGTGAGGGCTCATTGCTTCTGTGTTAGCTGAGGTGAAAAAAAGAGGAGGTGCAAAAGAAAATTTCACATGAATAAGAGAGTTGAATCTAATGAAGGGGTCAGAGCCGCCACTCATCAGGTAGGTGTGGCTGTTTCTAAGTAGTTCTTTATAGCTGTGACAACAAGCTGGACTCTGCAGATGAGGAAATGCCACTCATTGGGAAGCAAAACACTACAGGAGGAACCTGTGCAGATAGCTATTGTGCAGTTACTGCTTTTTGACCACTCAGAAAGAGCTGTCACTTTACATTCCTTATTCTTTGACCAGTAACTGTACACAAAGTGTGGCTTATTCTTGCAGTAACTGATTTCTGGTGTTCATTTGTGTTCTGGCTTAAGTTTATATGTTTTAAACATACATTTGCAGAAACATGTCTATCAACAAGCTTAGACACCACCTAGTCAGAGGGCTTGGACAAGAAGAACAAAGCATTCAGTTCTGGTGTGTTTTCCTGCAGCAGAGCATAGAAAATAAGCAATATTATGGAATAAACTAAGTGCAAGGAAGAAGTCATATTACCTACTCCCACTCAGTTCAGGCTGAGCAACTCTATTCATGATCTCTTTTGCTGTCAGTGCAGATCTTCCCTTATTACTCTAAAGGTAGCAAAATTGCCTATAACAGGAAATTGAGGACAAAGTACAGATTATTATTAAAAAGTAAAGCCTTAGTATGAACATTGTGTGTTTTAATAGTTATAGTTTATTAATCTTCATTATATTTTGTTAGCTTTTGCTGTTGTGTGTTGGTTTTGGCTCAGATATGACAAGGAGGTCATAGACTCATGGAATTACAGAATGGTTTGGGTTGGAAGGGACCTTAAAGATCATCTAGTTCCAACCTCCCTGCCGTAGGCAGGGACACCTTCCACTAGAAGTGCAGGATCATAAATGATAACAGAGTAATACTAGAGGTTGAAACATTGAAATCCTACCTCTTTTCTGCTCCTCCCACACTTTTCATCTTAATTGGCCTCTTCTGGGTAGCTGCTGTGCTGCAACCCTGCCCCTATGTGTGGAACAAGTCTCTATGCTGTCATACCATTGGTTTCTTCTCCTTTCAGCTGCCTTTTCTATTACTCATCAGTTATTATTAAGCAACTTTTCTTACCTTAATGGCTCTTTGAAACAAACAAATTCATTTCTGCAGTTTTAAGTTGCTTTGTCACTGTCTGTTCCTTGCTAGAAGGGAACCAACTGTCACCAGAAGGGATTTTTATTTCTCCTGGTATTTGACATCAACCCCCAAAACCGCATGTTGAAGCTTGCAAAAAGCACTCCCTCCAAACCCTGAGATACCCAAAGGCAGTATCTGCAACAGTGCCTTTAGAAACTCCACCTTCATAAAAGTAGTGTTTTTCTTTTGAAACTACTTCACAGCAGTCAAACTCTGAATGGAAACAAATTTCATTCTCTGTTTTAAAGAAATGGCAATGCAGTTACTAATTAAAACAAAACAAATTAGACAAAATAGGTGTAATACTAGTTTGTGCCTCGGACATTACTAATAAAACATCTTGTTAGACTCTTAGGTTGGGTAAGAGTTAGTTCAGCTTCACTTTTTTTTATAATTTTTTTATAATTCGCACTGAACTTTGGATGGTCTGTACTATCCAAATATATGTATATATATACACCATTTCCATGGAAGAGTGACCTGAGGGGCTGCTGCATTCAAATCTGTCTTCACAGCAGTCTGTGAGTCCTGCTCCTCTTCCTGATAATTAATAAATCTTGCAAATATTTATTGTTCTAGTGCCTCAGATGAGCTCCAGTTGGTTGTGGTAATGCAGATGAAACAGCATGCAGTTTGACCAGCATCAGAATATATAAAGCTTTGGTGTGCTAATTTTTTATACCAGGTTATCTCTCTAGGGAGTCAGCCGAATTTTTAATTCCCTCTGACTTCTCCCTTCCCAGGCAACAGGTCAAAGGAGGTGATTCTGAGAACCCACCTGGAGTACTGTGTCCAGCTCTGGGGTCCTCAGCACAAGAAAGATGTGGACCTGTTAGAGCCAGTCTAGAGGAGACAAAGAAGATGAGCAGAGAGCTGGAGCACCTTTGTTACGAGGAAAGGCTGAAAGATTGGGGGTTGTTCAGCCTGGAGAAGAGAAGGTTCCAGGAAGACCTTTCTGCAGCCTTTCAGTACTTAAAGGAGGCCTATGAGAAAGATGGGGACAGACTTTTTCAAGGGGCCTGTTGCAATAGGCCTAGGGGTAATGGTTTTAAACTGAAAGAGGGTTGTTTTAGATTAGATCTAAGAAAGAACTATTTTGCAATGAAGGTGGTAAAACAGTGGCAGAGAGGTGCCCCATCCCTGGAAGTGTTCAAGGTCAGGTTGGATGGGGCCCTGAGCAACCTGATCTAGTTGAAGATGTCCCTGCTCATTGCAGGGGCTTTGGACTAGATAACCTTTAAAGCTCCTATCCATCCCAAACTGTGATTTTTCTGACTTCAGTTTTGTCTCAAAGGAGGCATTAGGCAACATCCGTAGTGATCTCAAATGCTGCTTTCCTGTAGGGATCCTGTCATATTTATGGAACCATGTATCCCACTGTTCTTTATACAATTCCTGCTTTATGTACTTTGTCACCTCAAAATCTGTGGTTAAGCACAGACACAGCCCAAGTCCACTTGCTTGGCAGGACCTGGCAGTAACATAAACTACAGAAGAAAGGAACTGTGAGGTTCCTTCAGAAGTCACCTAGTTCAGTGTTAAAGGCAGAATCAACTGTATTTACAGAACTGCTCACAAATGTCTGTCAAACCTGTTCTTAGAGGCTTCCCTGATAGATTTTTACACTGCCCTTCTCAATGCTTAACTACTGTAATAAGTAACCTGATCTGTTTCTTCCTATGAGAAAAAGACATGTTTGTCTGGTTTATTGTTATCTTAATTCTCTCTACAATGACCTTTACAAACCTGGAAACTGTTGTCTGATGCAAGCACTCATGTTCGATCCAGAGAGACTGGAGGTGTTGCCTACACAACAGTCACATTTAGAACTGCTCTGTCACTATGATGTGTACTAAACAGATTAAAAGCTGTGTTTTAAGAGGCGTTAGAAAGTAATTCAAGCAAAAAATGTCAGAGGAGAGACTTTTTAACTGGGCTCCAGAGGAGCCTGTTCTTCACCCAGGGCCACTCTGTTATCCCAATTAATTATTTGGAATTATATGAAGCACTGCTCATGAAATTTGCAGACAACTTCAAAACAGCCGAAGGCCACCCGGGCTGGTGGCTACCAAGTGATTTAAATCATGGAGTCAGCAAGTGCCCCTTGAACAACATGTGTTTAATCCACCTACATGGCAAATCAAATATCTGTGCATCAAAGCTGAGGTTGCTGTCTGTGCGTAGGAACAAAAATACAAAGCATGCTTTTGGGCTGGCAGCGAGGAAGGAGAATGCGGCATCTTCAAAAGCAGTGAATCAGATGAGGGCTGAGGAGGTCACGAGGGGTAAATGCATGAATGCGAGCTGCCGGTCCAGCGTGGCAGCTGCACCAGCAAACTGCAAACATCAGGCGTCTAAACACAAATACCGACGAGCAGTATGTGCTAGTACGTGGCCATGACCATTGCATGGCACAATAACGTGACTGTTCCGGAACCACGATGAATGACAAAAGGTGTAACAAACTGGAAAGGCTCATTAAGAACCCAGAAGAATGAGTCAGTGGAAAAAATCTGCTCGGTGCGAAGGTGATAGGTAATTATCTACACAGCAAAAGCATAGCAGAAAGGCGCTGTAATCGCCTGTGCACGGCGAGATCTGCTCGCTGAAGAAAAAAGGTGTCTAGTGTTTAAAAAGGATGACATTGTTTCATGTTTTTCCTTCCTAAGGGATTCTTTGATTTTTGGAAAGATAAAGCCCTGAAACCCTCCGTATTTCAGTATACTGAGCCTGGTGTGAGCCGAATTTAGATCCTTGTGCCATCCCTCCTCACTGGTGCGGGTGCCCCAGCGGGACACGCTTCCCATGGAAAAGCACCAAGGGTGCTGTCACCCGCTCCCAGGTGGAAAAATCAGCGTCCAGTCAAGATAGGACTGGGATACAGCCGGAAAACTAAGGAAAAGGTAACTTATGGAGCAGAGAGGGAGACAGCGGTTGGGAATCGAGCGAGGAAAATGCACGTAAGGATGGGGATAAATTCCCTGTCAGTCAGGTCTCTAAGCAGCAGCTGTTCCTGTGTGCAGCAAAGGCACCGGCGGGCTCGGTGCCCACAGCGGCGCTCGGTGACCCTGGGCCAGACCCGGGGGGAGGCACCATCCCGGGGCACAGCCACCCCTCATTCGGGCTCCGGCCGCGCACTCCTCGCACCGGGAAGCGGAGGGAAAGGCAAGGAAAGGGAAGGGGAGCGAAGGGCAGCTCGGATCGGGCGCCCAGCGGCGCCCTCAGCCCGTGCCCGGCAGCCCCGCTCCCGCCCCCGCTTCCTCCCCCGCCCCCGCCGCCATGTTGTGGGGCTGAGCCGCCGCGGGAGGCGGAGGAGCCGCAGCCCGAGCGGAGCCGCCGCTCGTGGGCAGCGCAACAGGTACCGGCGGGGCGGCCGCGGGGCCGGCCGAGGGGAGTGCGGGGGGACGAGCTGCTGGGCTGGGCCGAGCCGGGCCGGGCCGGGCAGGGCAGGAGCGCTCCGAGGTTCTGCTGCCCCAAGCCGCTCTAGTTATGTCTGCTCCGCTTATTTGAGGCTGGTGGGATTTGGGTTTGTTTGGGTTTTTTGTTTTGGGTTTGTTTGTGGTTTTTTTTTTTTTTTCCCCCACAGATTTTTTTGTTGGTTTTTGGGGTTTTTTTGTTTTTTTTTTTCCTGTTGGGTTTGGGCGGTACCGGCGGCGGCGGCTCCCGCTGCCAGCGCTGCTGCTCGCCTGTGCTCCATTTCTGCTCTGCCAGCGGAGAAATCCCGTGCCCAAACAGCTCCCGGGGAGCGCCCTGCAGAGGTGAGGTGACTGAGGTGACTCGGACGCGTTTTTAGACCCCGGTTTGTTGAGGTGATGGTGTTTTCGGTGCCTTGTAGTTACGGTGGAAACCCGGAGTTGGGAGATATCGAGCTGGTTTCTGCAGTTAAAGTTTGCGAAGTGTTTTGCCTGTGAATAGACTGGCTTTTCTTGGTCTCGGCTTCTCACCGCGGCATGTCGTAAATCCAGAAAATAAAATGTGGTTGAGGTACGTGATTCGGTTCCCTAAACATCAAGGTACCATTTTGAATACAGTAAATGGCTTTCCCAGCACTTGGGGCTTTGACATCTGTCACACTGCAGAACTCGAAAGTAGATCGTGCTTTAGATAGTGCCTGCGATCTTTAAGTTGTTCTCTCAAACGTTTCTCTTAAACATCAGTTGGAAATTCCCCATCTAAAACTGCAGGATGAGAAGTCACTTGCGCCCGGGCTGCCCTGTCGTGTGCATCGCTCTTTTTGGGAACATGATGTTTTTTTTAAACTCCTTTTCTGTTCGTGCCGGCCTGTGGTGGCAGCAGCTCCCGCGCCGAACACGGGAAAACACGGAGCGTGCGAGGCAGTACGTGATGTGGGTAACATCGGTGGTACATAAAATGCAGCTCGCTTTCAAGAGTTTTATATTGTTCTTCTGAAATTCGGTTGTCACAAATATCTGCATCTGCTGATGTGACGGTGACGTTTAGAACTGATGAGCACTAGGAACTAATTGGATAAAGAGCTAGCTGGACTTCATTTTTCTAACCAAACCTGGTTAGGTTTTGTTTCCTTGTTTCCACTCTGCCTCCCCTGTTTGATTTGGTTTTTTTTTTTATTCTGACCGAGCTGGGAGGGGCGTTCACACCGCCGTATCGCTGGGTATTTAGAGGAATCCTACTTCAGGCTCCGTGTGATGTGAAGAGAATTGCATGATCCCTAAGAACATGGGTTTGGACTGCTGTGTGCTCTCTATCGAGAAGAAATTTTTTGCCAGATTAGCCTCCTAACTCACATGCCTAAATTAGATCAAATGAATGTGCTTATCCTTTTAATTACTATCCTGAGAGAATTGCTTTACTTTTTTCTCCCCTGTCTCTACAAGATCGGGGGTGCGGGACGTGTCCCTGTCTGAGCTGTAGCTGTCATTGTAATAGAAATAAGGAGTATGTTCCTGTAGCAGTAACAATATAACAAAATCTGGGTACATATGGCTTGTTTGCACTAATCAGAAAAATAATGGGGTTATCTACTATAGGTGTGGGTCAAAACACCAAAGCTTTATGGCTGTTTATTTTTTTAACCATCTTGTTGTAAGCAGAAAGGTGCCTTGTCACATCAAGGCAGAAGTGACCCATGGGTGATTTTAAATTGTGTTGATGAGAAGGCTTTATTTATTGAGATTCAGCTATTACAGTGACTTTGACTACAGCAGCAGGGTTTTTTGCAAATATTTCGGTTGTGTAATGTTGAAAATCGAATTAATTTCATGCCATAGGAAAAAAGCAGCTATGAAAAATGAAGCTAAGTTCTGTAGGTGACTATTTCTTCACTGAGCTGCTTGTCAGGAGCTGGTGAGGAAAATGAGGCAGCATTTGGAAAGTGAAAGGTGATGCTTTGCTTGAGGCATTATCAAAAACCTTCACCCTCCTTGAAAACAGGTGGCTGTCAGGAAAAGACCTTGGGATGAGTTCCTGAAGAGCAGTGCAGCCCAGAGCACTAGTTCTTGCTGCAAATTGAGACAGAGGACTCTGGTCTGTTTGGTTAACAGTTTACAAGTAAATTATCTGCTGTTACCTCAAAAGATTTAATTTGATCAGTATGTAAAATTTGTGAAAACGGCTTTTCATGAGTTTTTTTCTTTTAAAGGCCAGAGCTGTTCTCATTGCCTTTTGGCAACTGGTTCAGAAGTTGGATTGGACATCTTTATTTCTACTGTTAATCTCTGGCCTATTTTCACTTGAAAGGAAAGATCTCCAGCATCTCAGTTTTTAAAATAGCTTTTAACTGCTCCCATTTGTTTTTATTAACTTAAAATTTAGTTACAGAATAATATTGTTTTGAAGGGACTTCTGGAGATCACCTGATCCAACCCTCGTGAGAAGCACGGCCAACTCAGATTAGGTCCCTCAGAGCCGTGTCTGGTTGTGTTTGGATTACATCTGAGGGTGGAGATCCTACAGACTCACTGGGCAGCCCTCCCCAGTTTGGTGTCCATACTTGCTCAGAGTGGATCCCATTCCATTGCCCAGATTGGCAGTGAAGACATTAAACAGTACTGGCCATGGTATTAACCCCTGGGGAACATCAGTAGTTCCAAACAGATGGAGCTTGGAATAATGATGACAGCTCTCTGAGTCTGGTGGTCAAGGCAGGTTTTCCACCCAGATTGCAGTGAACCTTTTCAAACTGTATTCCACCAGTCTGGCTCTGAGGATACTGTGAGAAACCTCTTTAAAAGCCTTCACAGACTCAAAACAAGCTGCTGAGCCCTCATTCACAGAGCCAGTCATCTCAACACAGAAAGCCATGAGATACCAGGTGTGGTTTGTCCTGGATAGATGGTGGCAGTTTCCCGTCACCTTTTTATTCTTCGAGCATCTGCAGGTGTCTCACAAGGGGATTTGCTCCAGATTCTTTCCAGAGGCTGAAGTAAGATTTAGCAGTTTTCTGTATTGGTGTACTGGCCCTTCCAGAAGATGTGTCTGATGTTTGCCTTTTTCCCTTCATCAGAATCCTTGATCAGTCACCAGGGCCTTCCATAAATCACAGAGCTTGGTCTTGCAGTGACATTAGCCAGTGTTCCTGGCAGCACTGGGCCTGTGATTTGTTCCATATATAACTATGCAACTGCTCTACTTCCTTGTTTTCAAGTTATTTTGACTTCCAAAAGCTGCCTTCAGTTCATTGTAATGCCACATCTTTTGGCAAAGGATATGAGATGATGGATCCTGCCATGTTTTTAAGTTTTGTGGGGAAGCTTGGTTTAGACACTGTGAAAACACTGGTTTAGTCCTGTGAAAGTTGGGAGAGCAATAGTTTGCTGATTAGTGTCGCTTTTAAATTGGAGAGGTCATGTCATGTGTCTGAATGATGTGGGAAAGTCGGTGACCCTTCTTGAGCTTTCTCGTCCTAGGTGATGGTTGGTGATTTCAAAGATAACAAAGATAAAGTGGAGCTAATTAGAGAGTTCTCTTTTTTTTATGACTGACCTGTTTCAAGAATTATCGCTTGTCAGTAAAACATTTAACACAAAGAGTACTTTGAGGTTCAGAGGTTGATCCTAGGTATGAGGTGATATAGGGTAGTTACTGTATTCCTTTTACCTTTAAAAACATATTATCACCCTTTAATTTCACCTTCTAAAATTGCATTTTCCTTATGTGCTTTTGTTGGCGATAAGTGATGTAACAGTGTGTTATGTGTGGGGAAGCACTGGTGTTAGAGTGCCTGGTTGGATTTCTGGAAGTGCTAAGCATCTGTTTTAAATGATCCTGAAATTTTCAAGTGCTTGGTTGCGAACATTGCATGTACCTGAATTACATCTGGGGATGGTGTTTTTTTGAATCCTGCTCAGTATAGAACTGGGAGGCCTATACTGTGTGTAAGTTCAAGCTCCTTCCAGTGGCAGACCAGTGTAAGCTGAAATTTTAAGCCACCTGTGAGCAGTGAAGCCTTGTTTTCTGTGGCTAAGGTTATTGAGATGTGAGCTTGTGTTGAGTTTTTTCACGCTGTTGGTATATTTAGAGCAGCTTTTGGCATGTGGATTCTCTGGTGTCTAATATTGGTACTCAAACACACAGCAGTCTTTCTCTTCATTGAAAGCACTAAATTTGGTTGTGCTTTCTCTGGTTGCCTGGTTTCATGAGTCTTGTAGGCAATTAAGATCTTTGCAAAGCACAACCCTCAGTTAAGCTTGGTTTGCTTTGGATGATGGGATTCATCAAAGTGCGTGTTAACTCCTCATCTCTCCTGCCCTTAGAATGCCAAGCTAAGAATTTGAGCATCTTGGCTGCTTGGTCCCTATAATGTTACTGCTTTCATTAATTCCCTTGTCTTACTTGTCTTATCAGGATGATTGTGGGGTTTGTTGGGTTTTTTTTTGTTTGTTTATTTTCAGGTTTATTTCAAGAAAACAAGGTAGGGGATTTTATTTCATGAGTTCTTCTTACTTCCGCAGATACTTTTTGCCCACTACAAGATGATACAGAGACTGTAGTAGGTTGTTTTTCTGGTATGGTTGTGACGTTAGCATCAAATGTTGTGAAGGTGAGGATTAAATCACATAAAAATTATAAAGTAAATTATAAAGTAAATTATAAAGTAAAAATGGAGCTGATGAAATGTCACTTTTTTCTTCAAATTTAGAATATTTAGAACTTTGTCAGTATAGGAAAGCAGCCTGGCCAGGTTGGTTACTTGGACCCTGGACTTAGAATAATGGATTGAACATTGATATATGGATGAGCATAGTGTTGTGTAACTCTTATTTTCAGAACAACACATGAAATTCAAATGATGTAACATGATGACAGTAGCAGGACAAAGCATTGGAATTACCTTATAGAGGACAAGTACCTGAGAACTATTTTTAAACATTTTGGCAG